GGCCCCTTCCCCTGCTGCCTGAGGACAGGCTACCGCCTTGGTGAAGGGTGAGGACTAGGGCCACCTCCCTGCCTGCACCCGTGGACCAGGGTGCCGGGTCTCTCTGTGGGTTCAAGACCATGAGGGAAGGGGCAGTGAAAGGGTACAGCAAGGGGGGGCAGAATTAAAGTGCTGGGAGGAGAAAGAAGCCAGGTGGGCGTGGCCCTGTCCCTGGGCAGGCCTGTCATCTGGGAAGCCCAGACTTCCCAGAGGGTGAGGGCTAGCTTCCCCTCCCGCACCCCTCAGGGGACATGGGGGCTGATGGGCTTGGAGAACCAGCTGCTGTCCACATCCTGATAGCCCCACCAGGACACAGCCCCGTGGAAGCCCAAGATCCTGCTCAGGGGGTCCCTTGCGGGTCCCTCTGCTTGGAAGGGAGGGGCCTACAGAGGAGGGGTGCTCGACCCCAGGCTGTCGGTGACAGTTAGGGCCCTGGTTCTCCATTAAGGACTCCATGAAAGCACCTTGGGAGGCCAGCACTTGGTCTTGGCTGGCCAGGCCCATCTGCGGGTTCTGTCTTTGGGGAAGGCCCAGGCTCCCTTGAAGGCCGGAGGGAGGCTCAGGCCAGGGTTGAGTCAGAGGGAGCTTCAGGCAAGGAGGGGCTTCCTGGGCTGGTGTCACCTCCCCAGGGCCATGAGAAGCTGGCCTCAACCCCATCCTACCTGCGGGATCCTGAGCCTGGGACGAGGTCCAGGGCTGCTGCTTCAAGGCAGGAGCCCCAGGTGTGGGCTGAGAGGGCCTGACTCTGGGGACGAGGTTGCCCGCAGCATCAGGCGCCTCCCAGGAAGGGCCCTCCGTGGGAGAGAGGTGCCTCTTCACCTGCTAAGGCAGAACCGTGGGAGGCCAGTGTCTGACACTGACCCTGGGCTGGAAGGGGACAGGTGGGGTGGGCGCCTCCCAATCTGGGGAGCCGGGTGCATCCCAGGGTCTGGACATTGGGTGAAAATGATGGGGGCTGTGCCTGGATGAGGGTGAGGCCGGTCAGTGGAGCCGGCAGCCCAAGGACGCCTCCCTGTGGACTCTGGCCTTCAGCCTCCTGAGGCCACTGTGGTTGGGATCCACCAGGAGGCCGCTCTCGGCTGCCGCCCAAGCCTCTGCATGGCGCTGCTCCTCCAGGCAGTGCTGCCCGTGATGCAGGAACACGCGTGCTGTGAGGGCCCGGCCCGGCTGCTCCCGCAGACTGCCCTGGGCCATAGTGGGTGCCAGCTTCAGGGCCTGGGCAAAGGCTCCCGCGGCCCCCACCTCGTCCCCCAGGCTCAGCAGCAGGCGGCCTCGGGAGCAGAAGTCCTCTGCCCGCCCTGGGACATCACCGTCCCCTGAGCCCTCCTGAAGCACACGGTCCAGGTCCCCAAGGGCCCGGCCAAACTCTTGCAGCTCAGCCAGGCAGGCAGCCCGCAGGCGCAGGTGACAGGCACTGCTGCCCCCTGCCAGCACAGCCAAGCAGCAGTAGCCCAGCGCCTGCCTCGGCTGCCCTGCGTCCAGGAGGGTGCTGGCTTCCTGGGCTGCGGCCTGTACAGGGGATTGAAGGAGAAAGGAGGGATAGAGGGAGGGAGGGAGGGAGGGAGCACAGGGTCAGCCCAAAAGGCCCACCGGCCCCTCCCCTCCCAGCTCCTCCCCTGCTGACTTCCTCCGCAGGGCCAGCCTCTACCAGCTCCCAGGGGAGGGCAGGGCCTCTCAGTGCAGGAGAGCTGCCTGCTTTTCCAGTGGGGCTGGCCATGGGCAAAGGAAGCAGGGGGCCAGGCCACAGGACTGCCTGGGTTGCAAAGCCCAGCCTGACCTCCGATCTGTCACCTGGTCCCACCTCTTCATGGTCACCCCCAGCTGCCCCACCGCCACCCCTGGGCCCAGCTGCCCCTTCCTGAGGAGCCGCAGTGGCCCCCTCCCTCCTCTCAGCAGTCACCTCTCCTGCAGGCTCTCAGAGGGAGCCCTGGCCTCAGGACATTGGCAAACACGCTTCTGCCCTGCTCAGGCCAGCTGCTTCCTCACCCCAGGTCAGGAGGGGAGGTGGCTGAGCAGGACAGGGCCCATTGCTAGCAGCTGCTGGCTGTAGCCAGCACCATCCCCAGGGGTCGGGGTTCATGCGTTGGCCTCCCAGGACTGGCCAAGTGGGCACTTCCGGGAGGGTAGTGCTTGACGTGTCCCCCAGCCTCAGTGGGTGCTGTGGGCAGGGCCAGAGGAGGTGGTCAGTGAGCGCCGTCCCTGCTAGCCCGTCTCCCTGGGGATGGCTGGATTGAGGGACCGGCCTCCCCATCTGGGTGACCCAGCCCCAAGGGCTGTTGCTGGCCAAGCATGCCGTGTCCCCTCAGTCCCCAGGCACTGTCCTTGCCAAGCCTCAGCTGCGCCACTCTCCGAATCTACCCTCTCACAGAGCCAACTACTTGACAACCACTGTCTCTCTGCCTCTCAGAGAGTCCTCAACCAGGTGCAACCAGGTGCACCCAATGATCCCTTCCCCAGGGGCACTCAGGGCATCCCAGGGCTCCACAGGGGCTGTGCAGGGAGCAAGCCCCACGCAGCCATGCCAGCTGTCCTTGTTGGTGGAAGGGAGGGAGGGTCCAGGGTCCTGGGCTTTCTTGGGAGGGAGGGCGGGTCGAGGGCCAAGTGGGCACAGGATCCCAGGGTTTGTTTCTGGGCTCCCACGGGCACAGCGATGTCTCTTTCCACCAGCCTGTGGGCAGTTCCAAGGCTGAACAGGGGCTTGAACCCAGCTCTCTCCCTTGCTGTGTGACCCTGGCGGGGCCATTTTAACCTATCTGTGCTGAGTTGCTGGGACCGAGGCGTGAAGCCAGGTGGCCACTCCAACCTCAGGGTGCTGGCAGCCCAGGTCTTGAGGAGGAGCCGCTGGCCGTGCAGGTGCAGTATCCCCAGGAGGGACAGCCAGCGGGTGGGAAAGGGTGGTGCTGTCTGGCCCAGAAGGGTGGTCTCAGGCTGCTTCAACGCCCCCTTCTTTGGGGCCTGTCAGCCACAAGTGACTCTGGTGCAGGACAGGGAAGGGGAGGTGCAAGGGCTGAGGAGGGTGAGACAACTTCAGGCTCACTTCCTGGTCGGCCAGCTGGCGTGGTCTGGCCACAGTGGCTCCAGAATCAGCCTTCAGACAGCACCGCCCAGCCTCCGCCTCTGGCTCTGAGACCCCTGCCCAGCCAGCCCTCTCCCCTGACTCAGAGAGTCCTCAACAGCCCCCTCCCCCGGTTCTGAGACCCCACCCAGTCGTATTCACTAGGCTCAGAGACACCAGCCCAGCCCACCCCTGGCTTGGAGACTCCCTGCCCAGCTCCCTCTCCTTGGCACTCTGAGACTCCCGCCTGGCTCCCTCCTCAGAGCTAGGAGACCTCTGCCCAGCCTGCGTCTATGGGCTTGGAAACCCCCCTGCACCTTGTCCAGGCTCCTCCAAGCTCAGAGACTCGGGTCTGCAGGGTTCCTAGCACAGCCCCCCCTCCCCCAGGGCTCAGAGACCACAGCCAGGCCCCTCCCTGGGTTCTAGGTCCTGATAGCCTGGTCTCAGCCCCGTTACCTCAACCAGGTCGCCAGTGCTTTCTCCGCATGACCCAACTGTTCCCACTCTCACGCCCCGGGTTAAACCCCCTTTAACTCTTTAACCCCTCAGTTAAGCCCCCTCCGCTGAAATACCTCGCTGGGTTCTGCTCTCCTAACTGGATCCCGGGAGGTGGAACCCATTGGAGTCATGGGAGCTTAGGGGTGAAGCCCTGCCCCAGGCAGGCCCTCCCCAGGGTGGTTCTGAGTCCTCAGACCCCAAGGCCTGCTATGCTCTTGGCTTCTCCCCGCCCCTCCTGGACTGACATGTGCATTGTGGGTGGGCTTCCTGCAGGGGGCAAGGTACACCTGACTGGCTCAGTCCAGCTCTGCAGGTGCCCTTCCCTCTCCTGCACCCGAATCACTTGTGGCTGACACGCCCCAAACAAAGAAGGAGAAAGGGGGTGGAGGCGGCCTGAGACCGCCCTCCTGGGCCAGGCCCGGGCACCTCCCTCTCGCACCCAGCCGAGATCAGCCCAGCTGCAGGGAATGAAGAGCTGCCCTGTGGGTGGGGGCCCAGGGTCTCATGTCTGGGCGCCAGGGAGGGCTGGGTGGGGACTCTGGGATGCTGGGCACCTGGGCAAGACTCTGCTGCTCTGAGGCCTTCAGGAGATGCAGCAGGAAGCTGAGGTCCTGCACATCGGTCCCAGCCAGGCCCTGCAGGTCCCGGGCAGCGGCCAGTGCGTCTCCTTGTTTGAGCTGGAGCAGGCCCAGCCGTCCCCGGGCTGCCTCTGACGATGGGGCCAGGTGCAGGGCCTTCTGCAGGTGGGCTTCGGCCTCCTTGCAGCTGCCTGTGGGGATGCAGGGCAGGCAGTCAGGTGGGGTGGGGGTGGCCAGGGTGGCAGAGGTGGGAGTGGGGGCTGAGGACAGGCTAAGCCCAGGAGGCAGGAGCTGGGAGCAGAGGGTCACGGGTACACACCTCTGACCCCACCCCATGACCCCAGGCCGAGTCCCCACCAAGGCTGCTTCCTCTCCAGCACCTGGAGGCAGGCAGGCCTGTAGGAGCCCAGCCCCAAGGGGCAGCAGCCTGCCTTGAAGTCCCCTTGCAGTCCACGCAGCTTGCAAACAGTGGCCCTTTCCAGTGAATGGGGACGTGGCTTCACGCCACGGGGATGCACTGAGGTACGACTTACATTTTGGCACACGGGGCTGAGGACAGTCCTACCTAGGATGGGGCCTGGGACCCCATGGGTGCTCCAGGAGTGACAGCCGTATGCGTGCAGGGATGGATGGAGTTGGAGGTGTGGGTTCCTTGCTGAGCCCAGCTCACTCCTTGTTTCTCTAGCGGGCAAAGGGCTGCCTCTGGGAGGCAGGGCCATGCAGCAGGGGACCTGGGGTGGAAGGGACCTTGGAAGCTGTTGTGTCTGGGTCTCTTTCTTCCACTTTACAGCGAAGAATACAGAGGGTCAGAGTGGTGGGGACAGAGCCCAGACACCGGCGTTCCCACCCCCGGGCTGACCTACCCTGTGTGGTGAGGATGTCTGCGAGGAGGATGTGCCAGCTCGGCTTCCCGGTATCGATTTTGACCAGCGCCTCCCCCACAGCAAGGAGGCCCTGAGTGTCCTTGTCCCCAAGGGGCATCCTGGTGTCCAGCAGCTGACTCAGGAGGGCCCGGGCTCGGGAGTGGAGGCCCTGAGTGATGAGGGCCTGGGCTTCCGGCTTCAGAGAGCGGATCTCAGGAACCACGGTCCCGGGGCTGAGCTCCAGTGCGGAGACCAAGTCGTCCATGGCTTCCTGTGGAGATGGTGGGCGGTGGGTGCAGAGTCGCCTGGGGGAGAGACTCGGCAGCGGATGGGGCGGGAGGACTGTCTGCTGTCCTCCCCACCCTGTTCTCGGGCCTCTGTCTTCTCCTTGAGACCTGGAGGGTCTGCCCTGCCCAGCTTCCTGTCCCCCGCAGGGCTGTGGCCCTTGTACCCCATTCCATTTCTGGTTGTGCCTTTGAGGGTACCCAGCTCACTGGCCTCTACCCTGCAAGCTACTAGTCCCAGGTGCTCCTCTCTGAGGCCAGACACCGCCAGTTTCAGCTTCCGGGCGCTGCCCCGATCTACAACCCCTCTCTGGACAGCTGCTGCCTCTGCCTGCTGCTGGTTTCCCCCACAGCTCCCCCCACAGAGGAGAATGCAGGTGGGCTCAACCTGGGGTCCAGGGTGGACTCAACCTATGGAGGTGGAGTAGACTCAACCTGGAGGTGCAGGGTTGGACTCAACCTGGGGACGTGAGGGTGGACCCAACCTTGGGGGAGGGAGTGGACTCAACCTGGGGTTGGAGATGGACTTAACCTAGGGAGGCGGGGGTGGACTCAAAATGGGGAAGTGGGAAAGAACTCAAGTTGGGGGTGCAGAGGAGGACTCCACATGAAGGGTCATGGCGGACTCAACTGCGGGGGCAGGTGAGGACTAAGCTGGGGGGACAGGGATGGACTCAACCTGGGAGGTGGGGGTGACTCCACCTAGGGAGCGGGGATGGACTCAACAAAGGGAGTTGGGGGTGGACTCAACCTGGGGTTGGGGGTGACCTCAACCTGGCAGGCAGGGGTAGATTCAACCTAGGGATTCAATCCTAGGTGGGGGTGGACTCAACCCAGGGAGGCAGAGGAAGACTCAGGGAGGTGGGGTGGTGGACTTAGCCTGGGGAGGCAAGGGTGGACTCAATATAGGGAGGCAAGGGAGAACTCAAACTGGGGGGGGTTGAGATAGACTCAACCTGGAGGGAGGGGAGGACTCAACCGGGGGGCAGGGTGGACTCCACCTAGGGAGGTGGGGATGGACTCAATGTGGGGGAGTGGAGGTGGACTCAGGGAGGCGGATGTGGACTCAAATTAGGGAAGTGGGGGTGGACTCAACGTGGGGGCTTTGGGGGGATTCAACCTTGGGGGGGTTGGGGGGTTTCAACCCAAGGGCAGGGACTCACCCTGTGTGAGTGGGAGTAAACTCCACATAGGGTACAGCAGTGTACTCAACCTGGGGGGTGGGTGAGGACACAACATGGAGGGCTTGGGAGGACTCAACCTAGGGGTGGGGTGGTCTCACCTGGGGGGCTCAAAGGTAGAGTCAACCTGAGGGGGCAGGGAAAGA